AAAATAGCTACACTTATTTTTTTAATGTCATAGGGAAATTTGTTCAGTTCCCCAATTGAAAATAACTTACAGATATAAAATTTCCTATGAGCTACCAAAAACAAAAAAAATGACCAAATACACTTGTAGTATGCCCCCGATTCTGAAAATTAGCTTCTTGGCTTTTTGCACATTACGAACACGAGCAGTTGGAATAAATTGTTATCATACATTAAAGTGCTTTCCATGTGTAGAATTGTTATAATGAATATTTTTGAAGGCCTAATGCTTGACTTATGCCTCCATGAGGAGCACAATTTTAGATTAAATGTTGTCACAGATGAAGGCTGGATCAGCAGACCTCCCTGGCTGTAATCAGCCATCCTGCCTGGGTCAAGATAAACTGGAAACGTCATAACCATGTAAATGAAATATAAACAGAGATCACACTTACCAGAATGGTTTCAGGGATTGGATGTGGATTTTAGCTATGAGACTAGGTTGGAAAGGCTGTAGATATTCTTTTGTGGTGCAAAGGAGATCAACGGTAGGTTTGATGGAAGCATATAAGATTATGACAAGTTTAGATGAGGTGGTGAGGGAAAAACCTCCATTTAGCTGTTGGCAGAAGGATTAGTAGAGAAAGATTTAAAATATTGGGTAAGGGATGCGAGGAGAAGAACTGTTTTAGACAGTAAGTGGGACTGATCTGGAACCTGCTGCTCGTAATGGTAGTGGAAGCAGAAACAATTAGTGATTTCAAAAGGAAATTGGGTGGACATGAAATAAGTGAATTTGGATTAAAGCGATCAAGCAGGGAAGTAGTACTGATTGGATTGCTCTGTGCAGGGCTGACTGGACTTGGTGAACTAAGTGGCCTCAACCTGTGCCACAAAAGACACAGGTTGAAGTTCTACAGCTTCTCTCACCAGCCAGGTTTGAAAATGGGGCATCACCTGCAGCTTAACCACCTGATTTGACCTGTCACCTGTTTAATTGGGGCAATAGAGGTATTAGACAGTGTGTCTCATTGAGTGTATTGCAACCCTTAATTGGTCAGTTAATAGCCATTCAAGTGCCTCATCCTGCCTGCCCAGGTTAATCCTCAATAGGGCAAGGCCTGGGCCAAATGTATAGTCTATTTTACTGGGCAAGCTGATGTCATGGAAGAGGTGCTGAGGACCCTATTTTGGGTCAAGGTAATATTCCCTTTAACCTGGCCTCTTGAACCAGCCCCACCTCACACCCACTTCTTGTTGTAGGGAGCAACCTGTGGCTCTGACCAACCCAAGAAGCTGACTGATCATTCCAAGCCTTGGACTGGTATTGGAGGCTCCCCTTGATTTGCTGTGTTGGGACCCCTTAACCGAACACTCTGCCTACTGACTTAGCTGAGAATTGCTGACAACCAGGGCAAACTTCCTGGCTTTGTGTCTGCATTAAGTAGCACGGCATTACAGCAGTACTGTCAGCCTGATAACTCTGGCCGAAGGAACAAAGTGCAAAAAGACAAGGAAGTGATGCTGTTACCTTTCAGATAGTTACCTTTGGAGTGAGTGAGCATTCTGATGGTGAGCAAAGAGCCTAGAGATCAGACTGGTTCAGACCATGAGCTGTGCGACCTGTCCCTGTGTCCATAGTATTCTTGCTGCACCATTATAATAATTCCAGTGCAGCTCAAGGTGCAATGTAAAGTGTAGAAGAGTACATTAAGTGGACCATCGATGTGCCATTAGGATTCCTAAAGGCTGCCACATGTCAGATACCAATATTCATGGATGTGAGCTGCATGTAACCAGTATCTATGGAGCATACTTGAGATGTTGATGCCTACTGTCCAACGTGGATGTTCTTTGGAGCAAGCTGAATTTCCCAGGTACCTGGGGAGTGACTTCTGCGTCAATAATTCTTGATGTCTAGCATGTTTGGCATATTTGATAGGATAGGAAGCTGCATATTAATAAGATAAGTTGTGTCATTAATAAGGTGTTTAACAAACTATAATCCCCTTTAATTGGCAACTTGTTATGGCCCAGAGAGGAAACTCTCCTTGCTACTCAGCAGATGCATAAAAGTTACATTGAGTTAAATTGTCAAGGTAGCTCATTGTTTAGGCCCCATAGAAATTTCTCTCTGTCTATTTCTTTCTCAAAGTCTTTTTCTCCACCTCTGTCTCTGCCTCCGTTTCTCTCTACCTCTGCCTGACTGATTCTTGTTTTGTCTCTCTCAACCCAAATCAAATCCCATCGACCAGCATATCAGAAAAAATACAGTACCCAGAGTTAACAGCTCTTGCTGTTAAAAATCAGTCATTTTCATCTATAATATAAGATATACTGGCACTGGAAGAAGTCCAGAGAACTTTCATCAGGTGGACCTGTACTCATTGAAGTTTAGAAGAATGAAAGGTGATCTTATTGAAACATATAAGGTTCCTGAGAGGCTTGACAGTGTAGATGTGGAGAGGTTGTTTCCTCTTGTGGGCTAGTCTAAGATTGGAGTAAATTGTGGTTGTCCATTTAAGACTTTTAGAAAATTACAACTTCAGAAACGATTTGGTCGCTACCAGTTTGGGACAAGGGAAATTTAGTGTATTCTTGTAACCAGAATAAAGAATCTGAAAAAGTTTTTGAAACATTTTCTTGGGAAAACCATGAGCTCCCACTGATGGCACCTTTGGCCAGCTACTCTAACTTGTTCAAAAGTTGCAAGGCTTGGTTCACTGGGTAGATGAGAAGAAAGCAGAGTGGAAGAGCTTGGGTCAGAATTGCTGACAAGAATGTACATTCCTGTAAGTCACTGCTGCTTTGAACTTCTTTGGTTAACCCATTCCAGCCAGGCGGATGATAACCAACAGATGCTCAGGATATCAATGCAGTAGAATGTAGAACAGTTGATAAGTGCCCTTTCTACTAGATCTAATACCTACATAAGTCTTTCTCTGGTGCAGCAAAGCCCAACTCAGACCTGTTTGATGCTACTTGATTCTGTGCTCCAGGAAACCCAGCAGTTATAAAAAAAAACAAAGAACTGCTGATGCTGTAAATCTGAAACAGAAATTGCTGGAAAATCTCAGCCAGTCTGGCAGTACCTGTGGAGACAAATCAGAGTTAACATTTCCAGTCCAGTGACCCTTCTTCAGAACCCACCAGGTGTATTTAGATAAGGCTTATTGGATTTTAGGGAGTGAATGTCTTTATACCTGTCCGAACAACTTCTACAATTAGGCAGAGCTCCACCGCCACCCTCCGACCCCAGGCCCCATTCCACAGCAACTCTCTCCATGAGACATTACACCAAGCAATGAAGGCTGCTGCCAACACAGACAAGAAGCCTGTAATCCATTTTCTCCTGAAGAACATCAGTTATTGATGTTAAGATTGGCAATTAATGAGTCTGCCATGCATATTGAAGTAAGGTCTGTTGGGGTATCAACCTGTTTTTTTAAAAAAAGGGGCGTTTTAGAGTTATATACGCAAATAATTGCTGATATGTTATTTGAAAGCAGTTTCATGGAACATCCTGCTAAGTAAGACATCTTCCTTCCCACCTTATCCAATGTGTATTATGTAGGGTTGATTGCACTTTTTGCTATAAGAAGGAAGGTGAAAAATGTGTTGGTTCTTAGGAAGGGTAAGAAAATGTACTATGTACAAATTGGCTTGCTCTCTGCAGTCCTAAGGTCTTTGTCAGCTCTTTTCAGATGACATCAGTGATTTCAGCACACACTTGTACAACTGTCTCTCTCGTATTCATATCATCAGAATCTCTATCAGGGCATAGAGACATTTTTCACTAAGTTCTGTGTTTTTCTCCAAGTTGACACCATGCCCTGCTGCCCCGGCAATTTGTTTCAGGTGCTCGTTTTGAATTACTTTTCCAACTTTTTGAAGGTTAGTGGAGTTGTGGATAGTGTGGAGGGCAGTTGTAAGTTGCAACTGGACATAGACAGGATGCAGAGCTGGGCAAAGAAGTGGCAGATGGAATTCAACCCAGAAAAGTGTGAAATGATTCATTTTGGAAGGTCAAATTTGAATGCAGAATACAGGGTTAATGGCAGGATTCTCGGCAGTGTGGAGGAACAGCGGGATCTTGGGGTCCACGTCCATAGATCCCTCAAAGTTGCCACCCAAGTTGATAAGGTTGTTAAGAAGGCGCATGGTGTGTTGGCTTTCAGTGGCAGGGGAATTGAGTTTAAGAGCTGCGAGGTTATTGCTGCAGCTCAATAAAACCCTGGTTAGACCACACTTGGAATATTGTGTTCAGTTCTGGTCGCCTCATTATAGGAAGGATGTGGAAGCTTTAGAGAGGGTGCAGAGGGGATTTACCAGGATGCTGCCTGGAATGGAGAGCAGATCTTATGAGGAGAGGTTGAGGGAGCAAAGGCTTTTCTCATTGGAGCAAAGAAGGATGAGAGGTGACTTGAGAGATGGTGTACAAGATGATGAGAGGCATAGATAGAGTGGATAGCCAGAGACTTTTTCCCAGGACAAAAATGACTATCACGAGCGGGCATAATGTTAAGATGATTGGAGGGAAGTGTAGAGGACATGTCAGAGATAGGTTCTTTACACAGAGTGGTGGGTGCATGGAATGCACTGCCAGTGGTGGTAGTAGAGTCAGATACATTAGGGACATTTAAACAATTCTTGGATAGGCGCATGGATGACAGTACAATGAAGGGTATGCAGGTTAGTTTTGATCTTTAGAGTAGAATAAGAGATGGGTACAACATCGTGGGCCGAAGGGCCTGTACAGTGCAGTATAGGCCCTATGTTCTGTGTACTTATGATGAAAACTTGGAAAGACGTATAAGTAAGAGAATCAAATAAATGTGCCAAGCACTGTTTCTTCCTGCACTGAAATGTGTGCTACTTATTTAAAGTTAGCATTCTTGTTTCTACACATTCCAGCTAATGACACCTATTCTACCTGGCATGTATGCCAATGACTACTCCATTCGATTGGCAGACTGTCTAACACAGGAAATTATTTGCAATTATCTCTCCAGGCACCAGCAGGTACATTTATTTTTTACTGGCATTGCAGCGCCACAATGCATTATGTGGAAGAAGTGAATGTAATAAAATGCACAAATAATGCTCGATATCTTTTCAGTTTGTTGCAGAAGGAACAAGACCAAATTGATTTGCAACAATCAGTGGCCGAACTGAAAGAAAGCAATAAAGTGCTGGAAGATCACATTACTTTTCTCAATGAGACGGTGCATGAAAAAACTGAAGCGGCTAAGAGGTAAATAAAGAGTTGGATATTCATGTTGCATTGTCATGTTCTAAACTGTATAAGAGCTTGTGTCATTTTGGCATATGAATTTTATTTCATATCTTGTTGATTTTTAGACTTTGATGTTTTCTGTTGTATGGAAGAGGCAGAGACCAAATGGCTTGTTCTATCCGATAAATAGATTGTCTAGACTGAAAGAGTTTCTGATTTTCTGAAAATGATTGGTTTATTTCTTGAATAATTTGGAAGTAGATACATTTCAAATCCATACTTTGCAAATAATAAGCATGATGTTTTAAATGTTAATTGTTATTCTAATGTTAATTAATTGATTGCATTATGATGAAAATAAATTAACAGTAATTATTAAAGATAAGCCACTAATTTGACATTTTGTTAAAGTACAAATCCAAGTGAAAAAAGATTTGATACTTTGGATCTGATCAGCCCATCATCTAAAACATGTCGCTAAATATATTTTTAGGTAATGAATAGATCATCTGCCTGTTCATTTAATTGTTCAATTCACCATGATAACGTCAAAATATTTTGCATCTGAAAAACTGATATTGAAATGACAGGATGGTAAAATATCATAATTCTTTTGCACTATAATGTATTTAGTGCATTGTCAAAATTTAAAACCTTGTCATTTATACCTCAGAATGAAAATGTATTTCTGTTTAATGTGTGCTTACATTTTTGAAAATGTTCCATTTATTTCTGAGTTTCTACTTTGTGTTCAGACATTTAAAAAATGTAGCCTGTAATTAATTGCTACATTAGAATACATAACCTGCATGCTGGTAAGTGAGTGGGATGTGCAAACCAATTTACAAGTTTGTCTATCTTGTTACAAACTACCACATTCATTTGAGTTGGACCTTTTTTTTAAAAATTTGGATAAAATTTCACGAATAAATAGTAAAATAACCATTTTGATTTAGCTATGCTAACAGTGAAATGTTAAATGAACGCAACTGAGGGAAGGAAATTCTCTAACTGTTTGTTGAATAGTTAAACTGTTAAATTAATTTTGGCATTAGCTGCAGAGTGAAATAGGTAGGAAGCAGAGATTCACTTAAGAAAGGCAGACATTCCCAAAGAAGGAACCTGTAGCAATGAAAAAGAGAGAAAGAGAGAAATGCAATGGAAGAAAATGAAGTTTAGAGAGTAAGACACTGTAGACTATTGAGGCATAATTAAATGAACTGGAATTTGAGGCGTATGATTTTGACACCTGTGCTCATGTTTTTCTGGAATGTGATTTTTGAAACATATGAAATTGTGGTATCTTGAGAATAATCAGTGAAGTTTTATCTAGTGAAGACAAACCCTTGAGATTGCGCTCAACTGTAATGTAAAAGAGTCCATATTGGTGATTGGTCTTTGAAAGTTTAGTTCCTAAGATTTAGGAAGATTAAAAAAATAGGAGTAGGCGTAGGTTGTTTGTCCTTTCATGTGCCCCCTGTCACTCAAGATTGTGGCTAATGTCCTACCTCCATGTTATTTGTCAGGCTCCGTCAGGACTATCGAGTCCTACAGGAGGAGGTTGCAAAGCAAACTAGATACTGTGAAGAGACAATCACAGACTTGAAGGCAATGCTACAGATTACAAAGGCTGAAGTGGCTTCACTAAACCAGTATAAGAAGATCTATGAAGAACTCCAAGAGGGTAAACCATACCTCGTATTCTCCGCTTCACCAACCCCCCCTCCTGAAAATGATTTTTATAGAAGGGAAATTGTTAACAATTGTTTTACATTAGAAAAGTGAAGTTTGAAGCGATAACTAAAACTTATGTAATGTGTTTGGTGCAACAAGACCAAATATATGAGCAGGGAAGAGTATAGGATTACTTTTCGCTGTGCTGGCATTGCTGGTTTCCAGGTGTTCACCTTTTGATCTGGCTTCAGGCAAGAATTTCAGAAGAGGCTTTTGATGACTTTTGACATAATCTGTGGCAGATCCTCAACAGTTAGAGACTCCGAAGTGTTGCTAAAAATGTCAATGTTTTATACCCATTCAATAAGTGCTTTATTGGAAAAGTATGTATTGAATTTATTTTCAGCTTTACTAATATTTTGCAACAGAAATAAGAAATACAAATTATTTAAAGTCCTGCAGCATGCACAAATTACACATTCAACAATGTTACTTATTAAAAATTTCATACATTGAACACTGTTTATTAAGTATTATTTAGTTTAAGATTTTTGTTGTCTGACCCTGAAGTATTGTTTAGTGTGAAGATAATTTCACCTGATCACATTACAGTAATTTTCCAGATACTTAACTAAATATGAAACCATTTTGTTCAGCCAGTTCACAGTTGTGAGATATATCTTGTTCATAGCAAAATATTGGAAGCGCATTTCAGTAGCAATCCTTCAACATTTCCCAAACAAGCGAATGGAATAACTGTCAATGTTTGTTAATCTTGTGGTAGAATGTGCATTAGTTGATATTTGGATATTTACATTGAATAATTTGATGATGAACCCTTGCAAGAATTAGCAAAAGTAAATTCTTTTCTGGTAGGTGTGACAGCCCCTCAAAATGTAAAGAAGATATCAAGTGGGAAATCCTTATTTTCTTTCTTTCAGTATGGCATTAAAGTACAAGACATGATATTAGCATGAAGGAAAGATATTGTTCCAGCATGGCTAATGATCTTTTGACAATTTAATAATTTTGCACTATTGTTCTGATGTTTGCAATTCATCAGAGAGGAAACACTTAGGGGACATTAAAAAGTTCTTTCCCTTTCTCCCATCCTTCCTACTATCCCATTTAAATGTGTGCATTAAATCAGTGAGTGCAAAATTATAACATTGTCGCTGTTGGCAAAGATGTATAGGGAAAATGCTGTGCTGACACAAAGTAAGCATTTAGGAGGGAAGTGGACAGGGTTATGATATGTAGTCAAAGTCAGAAGTCTCCTAGCACCAGGTTATAGTCCAACAGGTTTATTTGAAATCACAAGCTTTTGGAGCGCTGCTCCTTCTTTACCAAACCTGTTGGACTATAACCTGGTGTTGTGTGACTTCTGACTTTGTCCACCCCAGTCCAACACCAGCACCACCACATCATAATATATGGTATAATGGGAAAGACATGCTGCAAGGAGGAATTTCCAAAAGTGAAGTCATTGTATATTCTCATGTTTTAAGCACTGTTGTGTTTAAAGCCAAAACAGACACATAATAGCTGGCAACTTTAATCATTTTACTCCATAACTCTGTGAACAAGAATTTTGAATGCATTTCAGCTGTTGAAATCATGATTGTATATACAAGTACTAGTAAGTATCATTTTAATAATGCAAAAGTAAAATTATACACGTGTTGGAAATCTCAAATTAAACTGAAATTGTTTAAATACTCAGCAGGGTAAGGCAATATTTGTGGAGATTGGGGAAAAATAGTTAGCATTTTAGGTTGATATCCTGAGATGCTGCTAATCTGTCAAACATTACCAGCAATTTCTGTTGTATCAATTTAATGATATTTCCCACATTTTATAAGCTATTGTATTTTAACCTAACTAATACAATAGTCAAATAAATTGGTGTCTATTTTAGTGTTCTCTTAGAGTGCCTGGAAGGGTCAAAGACATAAAAGTTGAAGCTGACCTAAATTTTCACAAGTATATCACAATTCTGTGGTAAATCAGAATCTCTTATTTTTGTTAATTAATTCTCAGCAGATGAGTTGTTGGTAAGAGGAAGTGATGGCCTAATGGTATTATCACTAGCCTATCAATCCAGACAGGTAATGTCCAAGGGACCCAGGTTCAAATCCTGCCATGGCAAATAGTGGAATTGGAATTAAAAACAAATTTGGGATTAAGGGTCTAATGATCATGAAACTATTGCCGGTTGTCAGAAAAACCCATCCAGTTCTTTAGAGAAGGAAATCTGTGGTCCTTACCCAGTCTGGCCTACATGTGACTACAGACCCACATCAATGTGGTTGACTCGCAACTGGGCAGTTAGAGATGGGCAATAAATATTGGCCTCACCAGTGATATCCATGTTGCATGAATAGAAAAAAAAGCCCAGCACGCATTGCCTATCCCTAGCTGCCTAGTGAAATACAATAATTTCATCTTTAGTAAACTCCTCCCCACACCATTTTCTCTGCAATCTTGCATCTTGTTAAAGCACTGGGAGTGGCTTTATACAACTGCATGGCTAATCTTTTGTAGCCTCAATATAAATAGTTTACTCTGTATCCACTGCCTATCCTAGTTGAGTAGTATGAAATCTGTCCTTTTGTTGAACTTACTAGCACCAGATCTGACAAGGAATAAAATTTTAGATTTGACTCTCGCTGTGGAATTTTGTACACATTTATCATTAATAACCTAGCAGCAGGAAGAATGCCTTCTCTCTTCCTTTCCCTGCCATTTTAACTGTTTATGGAGAGGTGCAATTCACCTCACATTCGGTGTTAAACAAAGTGAATTGCTGTCTCTAATAATATATAATTTTCACTCACATTTGCACTAAAATAATAAAGCCAGAAACATGAGAGTCATATATTGATGTTTTAAGGAAATGTTATAGCAAATGATCATATTAACAACAAAATTGCTCAATATAATTAAAACTGATTTACAGTACTGCAAGCATCAATAGATAGAGTATTTGTAGAATGAAAAACTCAAATCTGAAATCCTATCATTGGTTATATGTGAGAAGATTTTAATTATAAAGTAGTGTTTTCAGAATGCTCCTGTTTTAGATTCATGAAATATGGAAATAATATTCCTTGTATTTCTTAATTATTTTATGAGACATATCATTGGTGTTGAGATATTTTATGACAATGTACTCTTATGAACTGGAGCATTATAACACCAACAATTTTGCTATGTTTCAGGAATAACAAATTTTTAACAATAATAGGTTAAACTAATACGTTTCAGTTATACTATCTAAATTTGTTATAACGGTAGAATGATGAACTAACATTTTGCAAATTACACCAAAAGACCTATTTGCCTGAATTTTCCTAGCTCGTGAATGATGTGGGCAATGGTGGGAAAGTCAAGAAAGTTTGGCAGAAAAATGAAATTTTCAACATTTTGAGAGAAAAAGTCTGATTTTTCCACCCAAGGTTTGAACAGTGAGACAAAATTCCCATTAGTGAGCAGCAAAAGGTCTATTTGCATGTATTAATATCTCATTTGTACCTAATCTCATCTCATTTATGTGCAATTTGTTATTATCCTACATAGTTGAGAGAAAAGGGATGGCAACAGTTCTCATCATGAAAGTCATGTCCATGGCAGCTCCAGCTTGCTGCTTGCTCTGTAGGTCTCTAGCTGCACTAGCAGTCTCCCAGTCTCTGGATATACTCCATTAGTAGCAACTGCCTGCATGCTCCCCAGAGATTGGTACCAGCTTCACCATATAATCATAAGTCATTTCCGACACACTTAAAATACAGTTCTCCTATCAAGGAAGGTGTATTGTCACTGCTCCTCACATCTCAGCGTCATTTTTTTGTGTCAGAACTCACAGGTTCACAGTACTTCTGTCTTGCCTTCCATTTCAGTGTAGATACAAAGTCATAGAAACCTGTTTTATTTTTAGCAAATAAATCAGTCAACAGGGCAGATTTGTGACTGTATACTACAAAGCAATGCTACAACAATGTTACAATGCCAGCAGCTTTTACACCAATAAGCTAACTTATTGTCGTCAGTCAGAGAATACTAGCAGATTAAGTCAATGGCATTTCCAGTATCAGTCCACTGGCTCAGTTATGGTCAATCAAGTACTTGGACCAATCAGATTCATGGGTCTCTATCACTACACGCTGGCTAGTCTTGAGGGTCCAGTGTAACCACTGGGGGGATCACCGGTTATGTCAGTGGGGAACTGCATACAAATCAATCAGGGTCTGGTCAACCATCAGCCAGGGCTCACTTTCCAAGTCAGTCAGGGTGCTGAGCTTAATCAATCCAAGGGGCCTGTTCACTGAAAGTCAGGGAAGGTTATTACGGTCAATGCTGTGATGGGGGACACTCGGGAAGTCAATTGTAGGGATTGGAGGCAACATACTGGCTTGCAGATAGGATAATAATTGTGAAGGGGAGCAATTCAGCATATAATGGTGGGATATGATCGAGCATGTGAAGGCAAGGGGTACTGCAAATGTGGGAACAGGGGCTGACGATCAAAGCCAGGCTTTGATGTGGGGATCATATATAACAATATTTGAAATAACTGGGGGCATGTGGAAAAGTGGAAAGGCAAGTAGTTAAATAAACAGGTTGAGTAGGAACATGGAATAGGTTAAGGAAATGGGGTTGTCAGGGAGGACTGAGCAGAAAGGAACATGAAGGTTTTGTAGGTCATGCCAATTCTGCCTGTGGAGTGTAACCCATAGTGCCTCTCATCCGCATCCAAATTGCAAGTGTGCAGTCAAAATGAAAAATTGTTGCCACTGTACCCAGAATGGGTAGAGTAAATGTTTTCTATTCCCTCTGAAGGACCAGGCATTTGTGTGATGTGAGGCCCTTCAAAGGGAGATAATACAATAACATTAAACGGACAGTCACGATGAAATTTAAAGACATCAATTATCACATAATTTTGAATGGGAACCTCATGCATTAACCAACTATGTCCTGGCCATGGTAATCTTGACCATATCAATCATA